CAAATTTAAAAATGTCTATAATTTAAGGGATATATATAAAAAGAACCTTGATATATGAGATTGGAGCTACCTTCTGTAGGGTCAACACTGCAATTTGAAGTAAAATCTGAGCTGAAAGAGGGGAAAAAACTGCAAGTGGCTAACTGTGGCCCACAACTATTGAGGGTCCGTTCGGTTGGCAAAAAAAACATGGAAATTAAAGATAAGGAGACTTATTTCCTATAATAGGTTGATTTCTTGTGTTCGATTCACTTCTTAAAAATAAAAATGAGATGAGATGAGATGAGATGAGTTGTCACCGTATTATTGGATGATGTGAGTGATTTTTAAAGAAAAAATTATAAAAATTGTTTTGAGGTTGTTTGATTAGCTAAAAAAAATAAGGAAATGAATTATAAGAAACTTATTTCCTTGTTTAGGTTCTTTTCTTGTGTTTGGTTCATTTTTAAAACTAAGAAAATAGATGAGATGAAATGAGTTGTCATTATATTATTGGATGATGTGACGCATGCTTAAGGAAATCAGTTTTCTTGTTTTTTGAGGAAATAAATGGAAATGAAATGTTAATGAGATGAGATGAGTTGTCACCATATTATTGGATGATGTGGGTGATTTTTAAAGATGAGATAGAGATGAGATGAGATTAGTTGGATGATGTGACCAATTTCTTGTGTTTGGTTTATTTTTAAAAGTAAGAAAGTAGATGAGATGAGATGAGTTGTTGGATGGAAATAATATTTTATTGAATGTTGTGCGTGATTTTTAAAAATAGAAATGGATGAAAATAATATTTTAATAGTTTTCATGTACCAATTTTCTTTTCTTGGTTTTTAGGAAACCAACCAAACGGACCCTGGAGCATCACTGATGTACTCCACTTTTGTTTTATTTTTGCGCGCCTCCCTTCCTTCTCCTTGCGGGAGATTTCGGCCGCGGGATGAGGGTGGACGTTGGTGGGCCCACAACTATTTGAGAAAGAGCATCTAGTAGGACATCTTTGGTTAATTTACTAAAATCTAAAAAAAAACATTAAAAGTTTATTTTCATTTATTTTCTTAAAAAAATTATGAAATAAATTTCTTTAAAAATGTGTCACATTGTCTAATAATATGGTGACAACTCATATCATTTTATCTATTTTCTTAGTTTTAAGAAGTGAACCGAACACAAGAAAAGTACCTATTATAAAAAAGAGATTTCTTAGAATTGATTTTTTTAGCCAATCAAACAAACCCTAAATAAACAGGAATATCGTTGGTGGGTCAGTAGCTTTTTTATTAAAAAAAGGATGAGGCCTCCCCAAGAGGACCCCAATCTAAAACAACAGTTTGGGATACTCAACCTACTACCAATAGTTTGGGATAAATATGATTTAAACAAACGGTTTTCTAACTAGTACTCATGCATTTGTTGAGGGATAAGAGAGACGGAGAGAAATAAATAACGCCTTTTGATTTTCATCAATTTCTCTTCTTACTTTTCTCCCTATCTCTCTCGACTCCTAATGAATACCCATGAGCACATGTTAAAAAGAAAAGGTGGTGTTACAGAGATCTAAAAACATGGGATCTTACATAGGACATGTGAGATATCGACTCCCTGTCCCATGATGCACTGTCCCATGAACAGTGCATCATGGGACAGAGAACCGAAACCTCACATGTCTCATGTAGGATCATATGTTTTGGGTCCCTATAGCTAGGGGTGGGCAAAAACCGAATTAAACCGGCTCAACCGAAAAAATCGCCCGAAAAAACGGATCGGTTAACCGAACCGAATTAAATGGATGAGAATAATGCTTTAAACCGCCCGAACCAGATTAAACCGGTCTGGATCCGGTTTGAACCAAAGAACCGCCCAAAAAAACCGACCCGAATTCCCTAAATATAAATACAAAAAACCTTAACCCTATCTCCAATTCTCCATTTCTCCCAGACTCCCACGACACCGCCTCTCCCCTCTCGCCTCTCCGGTTCTCTCAAGACTCTGACTCTCTGCGGCTCTGCCATTTTCATCTCCAAACTACATCCAAATTTTCGACGAAGGTAATTCTTCTCTTCTCTCTCCTTAAGATTCTTGTATTTCTTTCTAAAAACTTTAGAAACTCAAGAAAAACCCTACTTCAATCTGTTTCTCCTTCACGCAGGCGACAACTGATCTCCCCACCGACCGCAGCATCCGCGATCCCATCATCCCCGATGACCGACGCGAGGTCTTCGGTTTTTAGAGGGAGGAGGGGGCCGCAGGCCCGCAGCCTAAAATCGCAGATCTGCTTTTTGATTTTGTTTTTTAGAGGGAGGAGGGGACGGTGGTCTATAGAGTCTTAGATTGAAGTTTCGATTTGGTTTATTTTGATTTTGCTCCCGCAAAGTTTGCATTTTCTAGTTTTTTTCCCTATAAGGGGCTGTTTCTGTTTGTTTGCTTAAAAAAAGAGGGAAAACAAAGATGTGTATAAGATTTAGAAACTCTGGTTTGCTCTAATTTATTTCTCAGGGCAATCTGAATAGCATAATCGAGGGAGGTCATTCGTAAGGTTTGGATAATTAGTTAATTACTGTCATGATGGTGATCTTACTGGAATATCCACCTGCTTTGTTGAAATTAGGGACCTGGTTATTTCAAGGAAGTTTTTGAATCTGCATGTGAAATTTTGTATGATAACATAATTTTGCTCCTAAGAGAAACAAAGTTGTTACAATAACGTTATTCTTATGTAACAAAGTTATTTTCTGATTATATGAGCAACATGATGGTGATCTTACTGGAATATCCACCTGCAAGTGAAAGTTTTGTGAAACTTGCCCTGATTTTTGTGAAATGGTGTTAATTCGGTTCAAAACCGAAACCGATCCGAACCGAACCGAATTTCGGTTGGGCCGAATATTCGGATGAAATAGAAAAATCTGGATCTGGATGAGAGTTTTGAGAATCCAAAAAATTCGGATTGGATACAGATTGAGCTTAAAACTGAACCGAACCAAATATGCCCAGTAGCACCACCCAAAAAGAAAAGTCTCTTTCATCTCCCATTAAATGTCCATGATCGCCCGTTAGACGAACCATTTAAATTAATACTCGTGGAACACAAGGCAGACAACCATATTCCAAAAAAAAACTTTGTGATATAGAAAAACCAATTAAGTTAACAACCGTGGATCACAAAGTGGACAACCGCATCCTTAAAAATAATTTCTTTTGCGATAGGGATTTTTCGGCTCATATTTACATAATTGCCATCAGTACTCGGAAAGTCAAAAGGTTGGAGAGGTCGGAGCGTCGAAGTTGTTTCACATTATTATTTTGGAAAAATTGCTTCTAGACCTCAAATTTATATTTTCAATGTACCCTAGCCCCTCCTATTTTTTTTAATGTTCTTTAGCCCCTCCTTTTTAAAAAAAAATGTGTCCAAGCCCCTCCATCACTCCTCCATCATGATTCCAGCTCATTTCAGCAGTTGATTAGACATGCCAGCTCATGATTAGACATATCAGCTGACTTAAATCCCGAATTTACCCTCCTCTTTCTCATGTCAGTGGATGTTAACTCTTTTCTGTAACATGTTAACTCTTTTCTGTAACATGTTAACTCTTTTCTGTAAAATGCTAACTTTTTTCTGTAACATGTTAACTCTTACAGATAACATGTTAATTCTTATATCTAACATGTTAACTCTTACAGCTAACATGTTAACTGTAACAGCTAATATGTTAACTCTTACAGCTAACATGTTAGCTGTAAGAGTTAACATTTTACAGAAAAGAGTTAACATGTTACAGAAAAGAGTTAACATGTTACAGAAAAGAGTTAATATTAATGTACCCATGCGAAGTTCCTCGGGACGACGCCGGCGACGGAGCGGAGAAGGGAGCAAAGGGGGACCGAAGAAGGAGGAGGGATGTGCAACGGGGGAGAGAGACGGGGGGAGGGAGGCGGGGGAGGTGCAGCAGGGTAGGGAGGCGGTGAGGAGGAGGAGGGAGCTGTAGGGGGAGG